ATGTTGCCCATAGGTTTTTGTTGAACTTTGCCTTTCGCCATACACACACAAAAATGTTATCAGAGCTAATAAACAAATTCAGTTATATTGCAGGATACAAGGTCAATACATAAAAATCAATTATATTTCTATACATTACCAATGAATGATTTGAAATGGAAATCGAGAAGTCGAATTTATGTACAATAGCATCAAAAACAATAAAATATTTGGGAATAAATGTAACTAAGGAAGTGGAACCCTTGAAACTTGAAAACTACAAAACATTGTTGAAAGAAATGTAAAATACAAATAAATGAAAAGATATCCATGTTCATGAATTGAAAGACTTAATATTTTTTAGATGACAATATACCTCAAAGTGATCTATAGATCTACCACAATCTCTATCAAAATTTCAGCAATTTTTTTTGAAAAAATTGACAATCTGATCTTAAAGGTCATATTGAAATGCAAGAGACCCAGAATAACCAAAACAATCTTGAAAATGCAGAAGATTTTTGAGATCTCACACTTTTCAATTTCAGAATTTAGTACAAAGCAATGGTAAATAAGATAATATGGTACTGAGACAAAGATAGACATATAGGTCAATGCAATAGAATGGAGAATCTAGAAATAAAACCATGTGACTATTGTCAACTGAATTTTAACAAACATTCAAAGACAATTCAGTGAGAAAAGAATAGTCTTTTCAAGAAATGGTGCTGGAAAAACTGGATATCCACATGTAAAGTTACTCCCTTACCTCCTACCTTATACAAAAATGAACTCAAACTGCACCAAGGACCTAAATGTAAAAGCTATAATTATAAAACTCTTAGAAAAAAGCATAGAGATTAAGTGTTTGTGAGTTTGTATTAAGCAGATTTCTTAGATATGACAACAAAAACATGGGCAACAAAGGAAAAAATAGATAATGTGGACTTCATTGAAATTAAAACTATTGTGCTTTAAAGGGCACCATTAAGAAAGTGATAAGACAATGCATGGAATGGACTAAAATATTTGTAAGTCACATATCTGATAAGGGACTTCTACCTAGAATATATAAAAACTCTCACAACTCAATAATAAAAAGAAAAATAATACAATTAAACAATGGGCAAAGGATATGAATATACATTTCTCCAAGGAATACATGCAACTGATTGATAAGCACATGTGTAATATTGTGATTTATAATAAGAAATATATACTTGGTCTTTGTCCCTGTCGCTGGCACAGAGCTTCCAAAATCCTCAGAATTTCCTAAGAGATAAGAGGAATGGGAGCATCTTTCGTTATAACATTCAGTTTTTTGTCTTCAGTTCCTAAAATCACTTCAGAGCCATAAAGGTAAAATGGGTGTCTTGTTATTCCTAAAACCTCCTTTCAACCACAACTGAGTTTATGCTAATGAAGTAACTTGGAAATTCACTAAAGATGGGGTGGCTGGTTGCCAAGTGAACCAACCATGATTAGCGGGTTAGAACTTTCACTCTCACTCCCTGGTTTCCAGGAAGGGGAGGCGAGCGGAGGTTGAATTAATCATCAATGGCTAATGATTTAATCAATTATGTCTATGTAATAAAGCCTCATAAAAACCCAAAAGGAAGTGGTTGGCAGATCTTCCAGGTTGGTGAACCAGAATGCTTCCATGTGCTGCAGTGCCAGGTCCCAGACTTCATGGAGACAGAAGCTCTTTGGTTCAAGACCTGGGCCCTATGTATCTCTTCTTCTGGCTGCTGATTTGTGTTCTTTAATATCCTTTGTAATAAACTGGTAATCTAGTGAGTGCACTGTTTACCTGAGTTCTGTAAGCCACTCCAGCAAATTAACCAAACCTAAGGAGGTGGTCGTAGGAACCTCTGATTTATAGCCAGTGGAACAGAAGCACAGGTAACAACCTGGACTTGGAATTCATACCTGAAGTGGAGAACAGTCTTGTGGGACTGAGTTCTTAATCTGTGGAATCTGATACTATCTCCAGGTAGATTGTGTCAGAATTGAGTTGAATTGTAGGAACCCAGCTGGTTGGGGAGAAGTGCTTGATGGTGTGGGGGGAAAAACCCACACATCAGAATAGAAGCAGAATTATAACATGAAAAGATGCTCAACATCATTAGTCATCTGGGAAATGGAAATCAAAACCACCCTGAGATATCACGTTAATCTCCACTAATATGGCTAGAATCAAAATTTCAGATAATAACAAATATTAGGGAGGATGTTGAGAAATCAGAACACTTGTATACTGTTTATAGGAATGTAGTTGGTCAAACACTTTGAAAAACAGTTTGGCAGTGCCTCAAGTTATTAATCATATTGCTGCCATGAACCTTAGAAAAATTATGTTAAATGAAAAAACCAGTCCCAAATGAACACATATTATATAATTTCATTTATATGAAATGTCCAGAATAGGGAAATCTATAGAGACAGAAATTGTGTTAGTGGCTGCTTTGGCCTGGAGAGGATCTGAGGGATAAGGGAGAGATAGTTAAAGAGTACTTTTGAGTTTCTTTTTGAGGTGATGAAAATGTCCTAAAATTGGCTGTGGTGATGGTTGCACATATCTGTGAATATATTAAAAAACATTGAAGCAAACACTTCAAATGGGAAATCTTATGGTATCTAAATTATAGCTCCATAACGCTATTTTTAAAATACACAAAGAAAATCTTAGTCAGATTTGGTTATTAACCTAAGACAAGGGAAAATGAAGAGGGATTCAAGGAAGATGACCAGGTTCTGGGTTGGCCAATGAATAGTAAGGCAGAAAATAAAGGAAAAAGAAGGTCTAAGGTAAGAATAAATGATTAGAGAGAGTGAGACAGCATATATAGAGACTTTCAAACTTTTTTCTTTTTTTTTTTTTTTTGTTGAGGAAGATTGGCCCTAAGCTAACATCTGTTGCCAATCTTCCTTTTTTTATTTTTTTTTTGTTCGTTTATGTTTTGGTTTTTTTTCTTCCCCAAAGCCCCAGTACACAGCTGTATATCGTAGTTGCAAGTCATTCTAGTTCTCCTATGTGAGACGCTGCTACAGCATGGCCTGATGAGCAGTGTTAGGTTAGGGCCCAGGATCCGACCCAGCAAACCCCAGATCGCTGAAGTGGAGCGTGTGAACTTAACCACTATGCGACGAGGACAGCCCTGAGACTTTTAAACTTTTTGAAGGGCAAGGAGTCACATCCTTTTTTGAGAATATGCTGAGAAGTATTTCTCCTCTCCCCAAAAAACTCTGAATATATTACCATCCCCCTCACATATACAGATGATTCTGAATAACATTTAAGAGGTTTTACAGACTTCTGTGGTGAGAATGCCTAATCTAATGTTACTCAGGATGATCAGCAGGGAGTGTTCCTCAGGTCCTGGCATAAATGAGGGAGTACTAGGGTGGGTATGGACTGGCAGATAGTGACCCTGCAGCAAAGCTGGGTCCTTCCCGAGTGTCTTGATGGTGAGTAGTGTTGTAGCCCAGGGCAGGCCACTCCAAAATATCCCACAATAGCATATTGATTAGTTTGAATTACAGTTAGTTGAGAAGCAAAAAGGGCTTTCTGACCCTCCTGTCTTTGTTCCCCCTGAAAGCAGGAAATACATCTCCCCTGTGAAAGGCGCTCTCCCTACATCCTCATCTCCAGAGCGAGGGAACTCGGGGTGGAGAAGCCTGCATCAACAAACTTTGCAATTTACTACCTCAAGCCTAAACTCTGCTGAAATTCCTCACTAATTGCATACCTTAAATCTAAGTTTCTTTGTCCTATCATTCCTCACAAACTTATTGCCTCTTTGTGTAAAAGATATATATACTGTCTGCTCTGTTCACTCTCCAAGCATGATCTCTCTATGATCTCCACTACATACGTCTTAAACTGGGGTTTTCTCCTGTTAATCTGGTCTTGTGTCAGTTTTGTTATTAGACCAGCCATAAGAACACAAGAAGGGTAGAAAAGGGATTTTCTCCACCCGACAGTAGCTTAGGGTGAGGATCCCAGCAGTCTGCACTTCCTAGGCCAGGCGAGAGAGAGCAGAAACAGTCCAGGAAGGCTTCCACCTGGAAAAGGCGAAAAAGAGGAGGGAGCAGGAAGACTTGGAAGGCTCTCTGCCCAGCAGTCACTTCTCTAGGATTCTTGGAATCTGCCACCATAGAAGTGTAGAAGAGCCTCATCTGGTTTCCAGTATGAGAGCATTCGCCCCCTGGATCTGGGGCAGTGAGTTACTAGGTGGGAATTTGGGGAGGAAATGGAGGGAAGGAACCAGAGAAATTTACTCAAGTCACTACCTTGGTCACCTTTCCGTCTATATGTTTGGAGTAAGCAAACATCAGGAGCCTGAATGAGAGGCTCTGGAATGTACAGTGAGAAGACCAGCACCTTCCCCACCTCTTGTCAGAACAAGGATGATCTATCTCTGGATCCCTCCACCTGCCTCTGACTCACCAAGCTTCCCTTTGCTTAGGTCTTCAAAATCATCATTAGTAACAGCCATGAACTTTTAGCAGATGACTTCTGATGTCAGCAAATGCTTTTCCACATTTAAGGAATGTTTATTATAATAGAATAAAATATATTTATTAATAAAACTTGAAATTTGTCCCAGAAGGAAAAAAAGATGGATTATTTCCATAAAATAGCCAAGATCTGACAACTGAACTTCTCCCTGAAGATTTACTTCATTTTCAAAACACCAATGGTGTTCAGGAAGATTTCCCCTTTTTTTTCCATAAAATGTTGAAACCAGTTAGAATGTTTTAAAAATGAAGTTGTGTGGAGTCCAGAAAAAATATTTTCTGTGTCGCGAGATATTTTCTGTGTGCAGGAGAACATAAATAACGAAGTGTTTACTTTCCTAGGTTAAGTATGTCTTTTAAAAATGAAATTTCATAATGTTCATTTTTTTGAGGCATACCAGTTTTAAAAAAGAAAATAGATATTATTAGGAAGCAGATTTACAGCCAGGGAGAGGAGGAGAGAAAGCAGAAAAGGCCAGTGCCAAGACCTCAGGGGGAGGATGAGATGGACACTCTTCCTGGTAACCAGAGAAGGGCAGACCCCAGCCACAGGGTGGTGAGGCTACTTGGGGGCCCTCAGAAGAGGACCGAGCTGAGTGACAGGGCTGCTATGCGCTGGGGCCTCGCGCACGGACGGGTGGTGAGGGAGTTCGTGTGTGTGGAGGTGGCGGGGGTCCTGTTGAACTCCCCGCCGGGCGGCCGGTGGGGTTGTGGGGAGGAGGGAGAGTTAGGCGGTGATTCGGGGCCCTCACGTGACCGGAAGCTGCAGAGCCACGCAGCCTTCGAAGCAGTCATCACTCCTGTCTGGGTACCAGTTCCCCGCTGCCCTGCGCACGGCGGGCTGGCATCGGGCCCGGGCCCGGGAAGCGGAGCAGGTAAGGGCCCCGGGGCACGCGCCGAGGCCAGAGCGGCAGCGGACAGCCGACCCCGGAGACCGGAGGGGGATCGACGCAGCGGGGCCCGGCCAGCTTTCTCCACATCCGGCATGCTTGGGACAGAAAGAGTGGCCCCCTGGGGTGGGGGGTGCAGGGGCGGCAGGGTTCCAGGGAGGGCGGCAGAACAACTAAGAGCGATGGGAAATCACCCCCCGAGTTCCTGCAGGAGAATGGTGAACGCCGCTGGGGGGATATTGAGGGGGGCGCTAGGGGAAGGGCGACCAGGGGAGCCCCGGAGTGGGGAGGAGCCAGGCGGCGGCGGGTCGCGCGCGGCGCCGAGCGCTTGGCAGCAGTCCCCGCTCTCTCCACCCGGGCCCTGCAGGTCTAAGTGTCAAGTGTCGCGGCGGCGCGCTCGGGGCGAGAATCGGGAGGAGGAGACTGCAAGGATAGGCCCAGGTCGGTACGGGCGAGCACAGTGGCGGAGGTGGGGTCAGAGCCCAGTCTGAGACCCCCTCTCAGCTTCCCCATCCACTGTCCTCCATTTTCGTGCTTACAGAAACCTGGGGATGGATCTGTAGGTAAAATGGTGGGTTTTGGGGGAGGGAGAAGAGACAAGTGAGAGGGTTGGGGGAGGGCTGTGACTGGGGGGCCCCCTCGAGGACGCACGAAGCCTTTCAGGTGGGAAAAACGAAATTTAAAAAATAATCTTTGATACCCAGTGCTCTAAAAGATAAGTAGGAAGGCCTCTGTCCTTGGTGCTGATCTGTCCACCAAAAATTCAATCCTTTTCTCGCCTTTTGTCTCCTAGGAGAAATGGAATCCAAAGAGGAACAAGCGGTAAAAAATATCTACATGAAAAATACCAACCAGGAAAATGAAAAAAAGGATGAAAAGGAACAAGATGCTAATAAAGGAGAGCACTTGGCCCTCCCTTTGGAAACTGGTGAATGCGGTGTGCCTAGAGGAAATCGTGGGCAGATCCATGTTAGGCAATCCATCCTGCAATATAGATGGGACATGATCCAGAGGCTCGAAGAGCCACAGGCAAGGATGAGAGAAGAGAATATGGAAAGGATTGGGGAGGAGGTGAGACAGCTGAGGGAAAAGCAGTTGAGTCATAGTTTGCGGGCAGTTAGCACTGACCCCCCTCACCATGACCATCATGATGAGTTTTGCCTTATGCCTTGAATCCTCATGTTTCCCTTGATGTTACTAGGGAGACACCTGCTTCCTAAGCTTACATGTTCTGGTGTACCTTTGTTGTAAACCTATTGAAGTCACTCGTTTCTGGTGGGTCTCCTATTACCAGCTTCTAGTTGAATGTTGTGTTTTTCAGATTTTGTTAGCAGGAGAATTTTACCTATTGCATGGAAAGATGCTCATTATATATTGTGAAATTAATAAAGTGGTTTTAAAAAGTCTTTGTGTTTATTCTTTTTATTTCAAATCTTATATTTATCTGTTTGATACATGAAGAGAAAAATGCTGAAATTAAATATACCACAGGATTAATGCAGGGACTCATTTCTGTGAGATAGGTTGATCTGTTTTCTTTTATATCTTCTGTAGCTTGAGAAGAAATGGAAACTATTTTTAATAACCTTATGAAAGCAGGAGGGTCACAATAAATACTTCATCACAAAATTTGGATCTTTTAGCCGGATGAATAAACCCAAGAATTCTTTGTAAATTGGGGACTATATTTGCTTGACATAATTGTGAAACAAGGTCATGAGTTGTGAACTGTGTTCACCTATTTTTGTCCCCTTCCCCACCTATTAGGCAAGACACCCTATCTTCAGATTTATCTTCAGATATTTAGCGGAGTCCCCAAAGATAGATCTTATTGGTTCAGGACTGCAGTGTCTGCTCCCCAAGCTGCAATTTCTGCCTGACAAGTGGTAGGCACTTAACAAAGTGCAATTAACTGAGTCAGGAGCTTTGAGTTCTTGTCTCAGCTTAGTCCCTGAATAAAATAACCTTGGATATGTAACTTCACTTCTCTAGAGGAGATTACTTGCAATTCAGAAAGGAACACTAGATACATTCAATAATGTCTTAGTGTTTCTAAAAGCATGCTAATCTGCCACCTGTGTGAGAATCACTTGATGACTTTCTTAAAGATATGGACTCTTGGTAATTCTGATGCATATTAATGTCTAAATGGCTACTGTGTGTTTATATTATGATCTCAGTTCTTAAATAGGAACCATAACAACTAGAAGAACATAAAAGTGGAGAGAATTCAGTGGAGAGAAGTATTAAAATTCAAAGGGTAAGAAAATTAAAAATATTTCTGGATTTACTACTAATAAAACTTAGAATTGAAAAATGTACACTAAAAAGTTAACTGGTTATCTCTTGTGGGAAATTGGGTGATTTTTTTCTTTATACTCAACTACAGTTTTTCTTAAAGAATGTGGATTACTTGTGCTAAAAATAAATAAAAGCCAATATATATCCAGGTCCAAGGAACTCTTCAGTGAGCTTATAAATTCAATGGAGGCACAAAAATCCTCATTGATAGAACTTAGATATATAGATTTCAAGTTATCCTTGGATATGGTATTCATGCCATAATTGTCTCTCATATTGAATGTGGGCAAAATCACTAGGTCCTCCTTCTAATTAATAGAATACAGTGAAAGTAATGTGATGTCACTTCTGTGATTGTATTACAGAAGATTGTGACTTCTGTCTTGCTAGGAGACTCTTTCCCATCTCCCATGCCCTTGCTAGCTTTAATGAAACAAGCTGCCATGTTAGAGAGGCCCTTATGGAAAAGAACTGAGAGTATGCCCCAGCCAACAATCAGTGAGGAACTGAGCCCTCACTTCAATAGCCTTTGAGGAAGCAAATCCTGGCAAATAACATAAGTGAATTTGGAAGCAGATCCTTCCTCAGTCAAGCCTTCAGATAAGATGCTGGCCCTGGCCAACATATTGATTGCAGCTTGGTAAAAGATCCTAAGACAGAGGACACAGATAAGCCACACTCTGACTTCTGACTCATGGAATCTCTGGGATAATATATGTGTGTGATTTTAAGCTGCTAAGTTTTGGGGGAATTTGTTACACAGCAATAGATAGCTAATACAGTATATAGCTCTAAAGGATAATGATGCTTTTTAAACATAACCACAATGCCATAATCACACATAAAAATGGACAACAATTATTTGATGTCCAGTGAGTGTTCAAATTTCCAGTGTTTTCATAAGATTTAACCCCAAACTATATAAACCAACAAGAAAAATAGGTTCCTAAACAATACTATTGGTCTTGTCATGTTGCAAATGAAAGGAACAACCTAATATAAAATTTTTTACTGGGAAGCTGACAAAAGTGTATGTTTGAAAAAGAGTCTCATATGCAACATAGGCCTGGAGCCACAGACTCTAAAAATCTAGAAAATGCTAAGAGAAAAACTAGTCTGTTGTATGCAATGAAAATATAGAGTAGGGTGAGGATCAGGGAGGGGCATCACATGTACAACATCGTAACCCAAAACAGTCATTTGATATTCCGACACCTCCTTTCGCAGGTATCTTGGAAAAACAGCTATATTTAATGAAATTTGCCAAAATAACCTGTTTAATTCTAGAATAAAAAGAATTGGCTAGAAAAAGTGGCTGCCAGGCTGACAATGTTGGAAAGATGCAGGCACAAATCATCAGATTACCAATCACCCTTGTGGTTGAGTAAGTGCCTGCAATGAAAAGTTATATTACTCTGTTGCAGTTAGAGAAAGTGTGGGACTAAGATAACAAGATGAACAAGCAGGTATATGAAATCATTTCATTATCTAGTTTAACTGAATAAGGCAAGGAATATGTTACTAAGAAGACTTTTTTTTCATGAAACATAAAATTTAGAGGACTAATATAAGTATATGGAGGAAATAATTGGTGGGTCACCAGGACTTCAAATGTTAAAAATAAGGATGCCATCTGAGAGTTGTAAATGGATAAATCTGATAGACAATGGACATAGTTTTCCATCTCTGAATAACACAAGAGATTATCTGTGAATGTGATACTGAAAAGGTCGAGAACATCTAGTATTCCAATCAATGTCATCTGGGAGTTGTCCAATGGAGGCCGGGTCATGGAAATGCTTCAAGAAGGAAAATGATAATAATAATATGCTCATGTGAAGCAGGGTCTCGATATCCTTGAGGTTAAAAAGGTAGAAGTCCAAGGGAAGATTTTAGAAGACTTTAAGGAAGAGAACTATAAAATAGACAGCATCAATGTAGGGTAAGAGGTGGCACAAGAGAGAAGGAAAGATGCAAAAACAGGGCAAAAAAACGCAATAATGAGCTGAAAGGATTTCTGACCATAATATCCAGCTGACCCCGTGAGGAAAATGCATTCAGAAAATATATAATTAATGCACACTCAAGGTACTAAAAATAAGTCTTTTTTAAAAGAATAAAAAGTAATTTCAGTTCATGCAGAACTGGAAGATAAAGTTGTCCTCTGAATGTCAAAGGAGTAAAATTCATCACACATGATATGAATCAATGTAATAAGAAGGAGTTAATGTAAAAGTTTGGGTTCCAGAAAATAACGGCATTTACAAAAGCAAAGGAAAAAGTAGATGGGAAGATATATAGGTAAGCTATGTAACACCTACAGAGATCCTCAGACAGAAAAAACCAGATGCCTAAACAGTGCCAAAGCCAGTGGTATGTAAATAAACATTTAACAACTGGGTTTCCAATAAACTATTTGTAGTGTTAGCCTATTTCCACTGTGTAAATACTCCTACTAGAGCTGATTTTCAGCTACCAACATAATGTCATAGTGAAGAGTTGAGAAGAGATATGCACATTAGCTGTCCTGAGCCAGTAAGAGCCAGCTTCATCACACCACTGGTTCCGAGCCCTCCCTTATCAAAATGGTTAAAACAGAGATGATACTATGTAAGGAAAATGAAAGATGAAAATGAGAAAATGAAATGTCTTTTGTAAAGGAGATATAGGATGAGTGCAAAGGAGAGACAGATATAAGAAAAAGAGACTGAGGCAGATAGACAGAGGTCTGGTGTATGCCATATTCCTGTGAGTAAAAGGGACTAGAGGAGTGTGTGTGTGTGTGTGTGTGTGTGTGTGTGAGGGAGACAGAGAGAGAGAGAGAGAGAGAGAGAGAGAGATTGATTAGAAGATTACCTAAACATGGATATGACTAGGCAATTTAAAAGAGGATTTGTAGAAGCACAGACTTTGGAGTCAGGCAGATCTTAGTTCAAATATTGACACCATCACTTATAAGCTTTGTGACCTTCAACAGAGTTGGTCAACCTCCCTTAGTTTCATTTCTCTTATATGTAAAATGTAGAAAGTGTTTAGCAAGATATCTGTCATATATTAAACTCTCAGTAAATGTTAACTGTTAATGTTATAAAGCATGTAAGATGAAAAAAAAAGTTTCAGTTCACTGAAAATGAGCAGTCTAATGTTTCAAAGTTAATAAAATTAGTAGATTTTTTATTTATTGATCCCTGAAGTCAAAATTTGGTATAAAAGGGATTATATTTGAGAAAAACATAGCTTGTCCCACACAGTGTCATACAATTTTTGAATCATTGTTGATATTTAATAATTGAGACATTGCACAGGAAAAGTCCAGATTTTGGTTTTCCATGAAAAATCAGTAGGTCCGTCAACCTTGGTCTTGCATTCCCACGTTGCACCAATTGACTGGAGGGAGCTTGGTGGTGGCTTTAGTCCTTTAGAAAGACACATGTTTCAATTTTACTTTTTGTACCCAGCTTTTCTCACTCACATGATCTAGTTACCTCCCTGGATCTTACAGGCAATTCAGTTGGTAGCCTCCAATCCATATCAACTGTATTTCAAAAGTAATTTGAAGCAATGGTTCAGCAAATGATTGGGATTCGGCCCAATTTGGGACTCAAGATGTTTTTGTGTTCCAAATCTGCACTGTGCAGTATGGTAACCATGAGCCACATGTGGTTATTGAGAATTTGAAATGTGACTATTGTGATCTGGGATGTGCAAAAGTGTAAAGCACACACAGGATTTCAAACACATAATACAAAAAAAGAATGTAAAATATCTTATCAATAATTTTTATACTGATTACATGTTGAAATGATAGGATTTTGGATATACTGTGTTAAATAAAATATATTATTAAAATTAATCTCACCAGTTACTTCTTACTTTTAAAGAATGTGTTTACCAGAAAATTTAGAATTAGACATGTGGCTCACATTATATTTCTATTTAAAGGAACCATTCCAAATTGTTTTTAAGATGTACCATGTTTTTTAAATTAAAAAACCTTATTTTAAAATTTTCTGAGAATAAAAATAATACACCTTCATTTTGGAAAACACAAAGGAGTATAAAAAGGAAATTTTTAAAAATCATCTTAATGCTGCTAAACATTATG